ATATATATATATAAATATATATATATAAATATATATATATATATATATAAATATATATATATATATATATTTAAGGTGAACAATTTTCCCCCTGAGGAACATGAACTGTCTTAAAGAATACAAAAATTAAATAATCAGAGTGCAAAAAGAACAGTCCAAAAATCTCTGTTTAATCTGATAATGACAATGATAATCCAACAATAATGACAATAAAAATACATTTTTATGACTGAAATACTTTTAATTCTGAGAAACGATGAATATATCAAAGTCTCGCCACCTGCTGGAAATATAAGGTAACTACAACAGAACAAGAGTCTGGTTCATTGTGCTTTAAGACTCGTTAACAAGGTAATTGTGATTAGTTCAATCAAATATATAAAAATAAACAATTACATTGTACCTTGTGATTGATCAAATAAAGACTGACAAACAGCCACATCAGAAAACATCAACTGTAAATACGTCACAGCTTGGTACATTCCTTAGTTTTAGCGTCCTATTTGCAAATGTATACGTAAGTTTGAATACAACGGGAAAATAAAAGAAATGTTACCTAATTTCTTTTAAAGAGACAATAACATTCCTAAAATAAATGGTGTGGAGGCTCTAAGGCAGCAGGTCATGTACAGGAACGTAGGGTTTAACAACTGGTAACTTGTTAAAAAGTAAAAAGTCACGTTGTGCAGTGTTAATCATCCAGATGGACCTGTAAACACTTTCCTTAAGACCATCATAGAAAGTGTGATGAACTCAAAGTGAAACTCTTTTGTTAAGAAAAATAGCACAAAAAACTATAGTTTCAATTGACTTGATTCACTTGATGAAAGATAAAAGAAAATACTAAACTAAATCAAATCTGTTGTTGTGAAAAGAAAACCCAAAATAAGAAAAATGTAAAAAAAAAAAATAAAATAAAATAAATAAACTTCACATTAACCTTTCCAGTTAGCTGAATGTTAGTATGCTGTTCATACACCAGTGGTACTCAAACACTTTGTGATGTACCGGCACTTTACTGACTTTATTAGACACCAGTAGGGTTGGGCGATATGGACCAAAATGAATATCTCAACATTTTAAGAAAAATGGCGATATACGATATATATCTTGATATTTTTGCTTTCCATAAAGTACTAATAAAAATATATTTCTGAGTCAAAGCTTTGTCCCACTTGTCACACAGGCACATAAACAGTTGTAACTGTATAAAATAAATGTCTAAAAAATAAACTATTTACATATATTACACAGTTTATTTTTTAGACCTTTATTTACATATATTAAATACTAATCCTCTTCAGCTGCGCCGCCTTCACGACGTTAGTAAGACTGTGTGAAGGTGCAGCTGCACCTCCAACTGTGTTTTCAGCCTCCTTCCCTGAAACAAACCACAGTATAAAACTCATTTAGCCGTGCTGTGCCTTACGAGAGGAACAGTGAGAGGTGTTGCATCAGTAATAAATCAGCAGCTTATATCACTAAAGACATGGTCCCAGTCTCGACTGTGGAACAAGATGGCTAAAGCACTAGTCCCCTTGTTAGCTGCTAAGGACCGTGTCTTTAGTGATATGATAAACAAGTTGTGTTTACTGCTGATTTATTACTGATGCAACACCTCTCACTGTTCCTCTCATAAGGCTCAACACGGCTAAATGAGTTTTATACCGTGGTTTGTTTCAGGGAAGGAGGCTGAAAACACAGTTGGAGGTGCAGCTGCTGATTCGCACACGCTTCATACTCCACTTATACTGTTTTAAAAGGTGAAAAAGACTCGTAGTTCCGACCTTTTGTCGGGACTTGTTTTCGTCATTGTCTACAGAAAACATTTTCTGCCCCTCTTCTGACAATTTAAATCCAAACTATCTCTGAAAGAACAGCCATTGTTTTTCTTTTTGTTCATGAGCTCAGCTGCTCTTCATATATCGCCCGTGTTTACTTGTGCCAAACGTCTGACTCCTGCCCACCTCCTGGAGAAGCAGGAAGCTGTGGGGAGCGCAGCTGAGGGGCTGGGTTTGCATTCAAGGAGGGAGAAGGAGGGGGCCGCGTGGGAGGAAGAAGACAGCCGGCAGATTTTCAAGTATAACACAATATCGTTTATATCAATATAGTCTCATCTTATATTGCAAAAATAATTACCTCGATAATTACAAAAATATCGAGATATCGCCCAGCTCTAGACACCAGATGAAGTTTAATACATATGAATTATGGCCTACCTGGCTTTCCTTACAGCTACATGTCTCTCTCTCTCCACTGCTGCTGCACAAATCTGGGAACGTGACACTTCTCTTCATTTCAAACAAACAGGACGATCTTCAAGCTCCATGTTTAATCTGAACTATTCTTGCTTGGCTTTGATGCAGAGTGCTTTAGATAGTATTTTCTTCTGCTCCTTCTCTGTTGTGGTAAATAGTTAAAAGCCAAACAAGCATGTGTGCCCTCTTGTAGATGAAAGTGGTGATCCCATTGACTAACCATTTGGCTGCAGGTGCAGGACCCTGACATCTGTATAAAGCAAGGGTTCCCAACCCTGGTCCTTGAGGAACACCATCCTGCATGTTTTAGTTGTTTCCTGCTAAGACACACCTGATTTTAATAAATGAGTGATTAATAGGCTTCTGCAGAACGAGAGGAAGTAATTAAATCACTGACTCAGGTGTTGGAGCAGGGAAACAACTAAAACATGCAGGATGGTGTTCCTCAAGGAACAGTGTTGGGAACCACTGGTATAGTGAAAGTTTATTATGAACAAATGACCCGTTACACGGCTAGTGTTTGGTGGAGCGGGTCCTTGCCCATAAAGATATTCAGGTTGAAAACTCTGTGTAATTAAATCTACATATTCTCACTTTGCACATTGTTTGCTTGTAGGTGCTCTTGTTCTAAAAAAAAACCATCTCACACATTGATGACTACTAATAATAACTCTAGTCCTCGGATCTTTATCCACTAAGTTTGATCTGATCAAGATCTGAGGACCTGAAATGTTGCCTAACCTAGTTTTTAAATGGTGGATAAATTCAGAGCCGTGTAAATCAGGTTGGTTGTGGTGCAGATGAACCCTATCAGGTTGCAGATGCTGGACAGCGCATGGTACCGCCCAAACGTGCTCCTGAAGGCTTTGTACTTTGGATCCTGCTCTCTGAGCTTAGCGTAGGCCTCTTTCTGGCTGCTCAGGCCCACCTGGTTCCCCAGGCCGTGCTCCTCTTCCACCTCCCTCATCTGGAACATCACCTCTGTCGCTGCTGGGCCGAACCACTGTCCATTCAACCCCACCATGATCAGCGCCACAAAGAACATCGCCATCTGCAGGATGAGAGGAATGTAAGGACTCTGTTCTTTACCAGACTAAACCTATACAGTAAACTGACACTAGCATGATGATGCATGTTCCAATATGTGATCTTTGACCTGCACACTCTCATGCCAGTCCAGTAACTCTCTTGGGTGGTACACAGCATACACAGCCAGGCTGACAAGGTTACTTCCCAGCAGGCAGTAGAAGTACACAGGAAACAGCTTACTCTGGACCAGTCCAAAGGTGTGCCGTGTTACCTGTCGCACCAGAACAAAACCTGCAGGCACACAAACCGGACTCGGTGTTGAAACAGAATGTTCTGCAGCCTCAGTAACATGTTTGTACCCCTCTTACCTCCAATGAAGGACACCCAGACTTGCATGCCCCAGGCAAAGGAGAGTGTCAGAAGGTGCAGCACTTTGATCAAGTCTGTTGGCTCTCCTTCTGCTGCCATGATGTTACTGGGGGGAGGGACAAAGCAGACATGGAGTATGTTCATGTCCGTGTTACTTTCATTTGTTGCTCAACTGGTGCTGCATATTCAGTTTCCTACTTGGTAATTGATTAAGTATGTGCAGGCACAGCCGAATGTTGTTTTTGAAGTAGCCAATATTGGCCGAACCACCCGTCTATTTTTAACTAAAACGTAATAATTTGTAAAATATATCTCTGTCACAATTGAACATACAAACAGTTAAATGATTAAAGTCACGTTAAAATAAAAAAGAAACGAAAAGTGTTGTGTTGTCATCACTGTATGTTTCTATAAAATGACTGAATTAGTTCTCTGCATTTAACCCATCACTTGTGAGAAACATCCAGGTGGAGCAGTGGGCAGCTATGCAAGCACCCGGGGAGCAGTTAGGGATTAGATGTCTTGCTCAAGGACACCACGGCATGTGGGCATGGTAGGGAGTTGAACCTGCAACATTCTGGTCTCAAATTGGCTGCTCTGCTACACCATCTCAGCCCCAAATGTCTATCTCTAACTATTACTGTGGACATCCATCCATTATCTTTCATCTGCTTCTTCTTTTTCAGGTCAGTGGTGCCCATATCCAGCAAACACTGTGAGAGGCGGGGGACACCCTGGACAGGTCTCCAGTCCATCACAGGGACACATATAGAGACAAATGAGACCAACAACCATCCACGCTCTCACTCACACCTAGAGACAATTTAGATCCGGCGACCTTGTCACTGAACCACCTCGAGAAGTTCACGTAATCCAAAATCTTGTTTGTACAAAAAATGTAAACAACACATTTGCTTAAGAGTTTAGTATAACCTGAAAATAATCTAAAAAAACAAACAAACAAAAAAACAACAACAGTGCTTCTTTGAGCCTTAGGATGTGACATAAAAATAATAAAGCATAACTGATGGTAACTCTGATGACAGAAATAAAGATCAACAGCAAACTCTAACATTTAGATAAAACCAGACATGGACAGAGATAATGGTTACAGTTGAGGCTGGTCTGAGCTGATAAACTCCCAGAAGAAGATAAGAGGGGAGGCAAAGCAATAAAAACACTTTAGATTATACATTCAAAATCCTAAAACGTATAACTATCCCACAGTCTGTCCTTCAAACTAAAGAAACGAAGGTTAAAACATAGAAGCTGTAAACCTGTACAGCGATTCTGTAATAACTGGTAAGCTAACCAGCTTTAGCCGCTCACAAGCTAATAACTGCTCTGGCTTCACTTCCGGCTTCACCTGGATAATAATATGAACTTATATCACAGGCCCGGAGTCGTAGTATTCACCTTGTTTCTGCACGTTTCACGGAAAAACAACCGCAACTTCTCAGCCTTAAAGCGCCGTTCCGAACACCACCGAACAATTTCAACAATTTTCTATGAATCCACACGCCCCGCCCCTTTTCTGGTCAGCGACCAATGATATTCTTTGTTAGTGTGACACGTTTGTGTTAAACAAGTTTTGATTGGTTTCACGCTCACGGCATTTCCTGCTGTTTTACAGCATACATTATTTACATTATTTATGTACCACGTGCCAAAATAAAACATAAACACCACCTTCAAGTTGCGTCTATGACCTAACATTAAATATAATAGTGACTGAGAAGGTGGGATGAAATAAGCACAATAATAAGCACTTTATTTGTTTGTTCTACATGTTTGGTATTTGTAAACATCATTGATGGTGATGTTTGACACTATTTTGAATTTTTTCAAGTAGATATTTTGTGTTGTGATGTTATTTATTGTATCTAACATAAAAAAAAGTTTAATTTATTTGTATACTAGAAATTTGTATACATATACAGTATTTTATATCATAAGCTGCGTCTAGTCAGAAAACCGTGTACAAAGGAATATTGTGACTTTCTTCGTCTGAAGTTTTTAGCACGCCAAATTAGTTCTGACCTTTTATTTTTTTATTTAAACGCACCTTTAACAGATCTATTAAATAAACTGTTTTTTTTATTGTTTTTTTTTTTACTTTATTGAACTACTGAACATACAGAACAAAAGAACACAAATAGAACAACAAATGACAATCTCAAATTACAATGATACATATAAACATATACAAATATCTACAATCATACCTCCTAAGGTCAACATATTCTAAAACGAATTATATCAATCATCATAAACTTAAAAATTAGGTAATAATACTATTTGAGAGTTTGCAAATAATAATAAACTGGTTTTATTTCAGTAGTACTTGTGAAGCGTCTTTATTTGGAGGCGGGGCTTATAGAACGACGTCCGCAATTGGTCACTTTTGAACCAACCAGAGCTCGTTCGTATCCTGCACCAACCAATCAGAGACGTTCTCTTCGACGCTGCATCCGGATCGAGCTGGAACGAGCATCCTTCGCTGCTAAGCATCATTCATGTAAGGCAACGATCACTTTATTCAGATAGACGAAATTTAAAACGTGGAGGCAAACTAAAGCGGCATTTACACGTGAACGTATTTGTGCTACAGGAGTGGGAAAAGCAAACATTTGAGTCTGTTACATGGAACAGTTAGTGATACATGCTAACATCTGTTAGCTTTAGTCGTCGCTTCAGCCTTTCTGTTGGGCTTTTCAAATAAGTGCAAGGCAGGATTTACAAAAACAGGTTTAGGAGTTTAGTTTATCTTGATTACAGCCTTGTTATCAATGTAACAAAAAAAACGTAAAAATATGTCTGAGAAATAAAATGAATCAGTCTGCTTCATTCATTCATTATTCACACACTAACATACAGAGAGGATGGACAGTAACAAAGTGACTAAAGTGTGTGAACAACGATCACATCCATGTCCTTTATTTAACTGTATAAGTGAAAGTTTTTTCCCCTATTGCTTTTTTCATGTCAAGTTTCTTTATTGTCATGAAATTATGTACACAGGGTCCCAGTTAAATCCAACAAAAGTATAAATTGTGAAGAAAAACAGTAATAAGATCTAAGATATTAACTGAGAAATATGCTAAAACTAAGAATACACTAGCACAAATAATACAAAACCAATACGCCGAACATCAGCACAAACGTTTTTAAAGTGCTACAGTTTTTATGAAAAACAAATGCCACTTAAAGCCAGAAATAAATATACAGTATTCAAAAGGATTATAAAAGATATTTAAACCTAATTAGATCTAAAAACTTTCATTTGTTTCTTTTGTATTTCCTTTTCTACAGAGATAAAATGGGGCGCAGGAAGTCAAAGAGAAAGCCACCGCCCAAGAAGAAAATGACGGGCAACCTGGACACCCAGTTCACCTGTCCATTCTGCAACCACGAGAAATCTTGTGATGTCAAAATGTGAGTAACTTGGTGCGATTTCTGTTGCTCTTTGAAAATCACAGATCCGTGGGCTGTGTGATGAAAGTGGCTGTTTTCCAGGGAACGAACACGCAACACAGGGATCATATCATGCAGTGTCTGTTTGGAGGAGTTCCAGACTCCTATAACATGTATCCTTTTGGACCAAGAAAAGATCAACTGTTATTATACTTTAACTTTTTCTAAGTATTCATATTATACTTAGAAAATGTGAAAAAATCCAGGAGCTCCTGGACTCAAGGGGCTCAGCAGGTTAACCGTTAACGTTCATAAGAGGACAGTTCAAAAGCCTTTCCTCTGTAAAACATTCTCCCTAAAAGACATTTTCCAGATGACATGATTTAACCTTGTTTGTATTCATGGCTTCATTTTCAAAGTTGCATCTACACCCCCCCCCCACCGCAGACTCCCCCCCCCACACACACACACACACACAAGACTTGATGATATCCTTTGATCAGATAAACCTAAAGTAGAGATGTTTGGTCATCAAGCTTGGTATGAGCCCAGTCAAAGTTCAGGCCTCAACCCAGTTAAAAACCTGCGGTGGGACCATGTACACAAACAACTGTCCACAAAACTGAGCTGTTGGAGTGGTGTGGGCCAAATTTCACACAGAACTCACTACTTGAGTAACTTAAAAGAAAATTCTTACATGTTGTTGCTCATTATTGTGGTTCTACAAGGTTTTGAATTATATTTTCCACACAGACTACATAAGTATTTGTCTTAGTTTTAGTTTAAAAACGATCACGAGTGGTCAAATTCAACTTGTTCATCTTAGCTCAGGGGTCCGCAACCTTTTTGATCACAGAGCCATTTCTGCTCTTTCACTCGTTCGATAAAAAAAGAGCCCGGAGCCACGAAACCTGCTACAACTGTCCTGATGCATGCTACAACTGTGATGATCAACTGGTGGCCCATGGGCCACTTTGAGTTACCGTATTTTTCAGCCTATAAGTCACAGTTTTTTGCATAATTTATATGCCCTGCGATTTATAGGCCAAAGCAACATATTTATGTTTTTTTTCCCATATTTATAAACCAATTTTTAGCTGAGATATGACCGTTTTCATTCATTCTGACTGAAATAAAATAAAATAAAAATTGAGCAGTATCACTTTCAGCCACTTGGTGGCAGCAGCGTAGTAGTAGTGTGGCATACTGTTGTATCATGTAATAGGTAAACATGGCTATTACGACAAATAAAAAAAAATCAAAACAAAAACAACTGGATTTTATTTATTATACTTTATACTTGATTGTTTATTTCTTGAACTTTTTTAATTTACCATGTCCTGGATGACTGAGAATCTTCACCAGCTATTAATGATTCAATTGGCTTGCCGTATCCTCCCCATCTTTGTTCTGCTCACTGCTTGAACAGTCTATCCATCTGCACCGCCCCGGCGTAATGCAGCTAATTTGACCATTAAAGTGCATTTATTAAGCAAATGTTAGACTGAGACACACCTTTTGCTATATTTTCGACAACAAATAATTATTTTTAAGTGTTAATCTTGTTAAATTCCTGTTCAAGTTCTCCCGTGTACGCTCCTGCGGCCGCCATTTGGCAGCCCATCGATTTCTGGCACAACACCGGCCCACATTTCCGGGTTGTCAGCGGTGATAAATAATAGATGCGACGTATACGGTGAAGTGAAATTAATTTCAGCATTTATTGATATTTTTACATTTTGAGACAAAAAATCAAGTCTAGGATGCAAAGAAGTGAAGTTTCTGCCTTTAGATGAAAATCAAAACACTGAGCTCCGTAGACCCATGTGGTCTTTGATGTGAGGAGAAATGAAGTATCCCACTTTGAAGTGATGAAGCAAAAAAATAGTGTCGTTCAAACATTTGCATAAAATGTACAAAAAAACCCAAACAAAACTAGCCTTTTGTGTTGTGGGTGTAAAACAAGAACAATAAAATTTCCTGTAAGTTTTGGTCAAAGCTTCGTAGAGACGCAGATCAGGGACTAAAGAGCCGCATGTGGCCCCAGAGCCACGGGTTGCAGACCCCCGTCTTAAGTTGTGTTTAACTAAAATGAAATCTTACTCGAGATATGTTTTTTACAGTTTAGTACATCGAGAATGTTTTTTATCTACAACTATAAAAGAAAAGTTATTTTACCACACCACCACTTGAATGGTCAAAAGGAAACTGCGTGTTTATCATGACACTTTGTACTTCAACAAGTTCAGGAAGCAAAAGCTGATAAAACACTTTATTCGTAAAGAAAACCCAACAAAGGCGCCACTTTCCTCAACGTCCTTCCACCCAGATCTTTCCGAACCTGTTGATGTTTACAGCGACTGGATCGACGCCTGCGAAGCAGCTAACCAGTAGTAAACTCTTCCCAGCGAACCTCCTCCGTCACCTGGATCTGGTCCCAGTCGAGCAGTTTTTGTCACCACTTTGTATCCAAACAGTTTTCTTCTCAAGTGTCACGGTCTTAGTTTTACTGACACTGATGTTGACGCGTTCCTCTGGCTGGGTCAGAGTGTTGTCATTTTGGCAGAAGCCTGTCTGCATCCCAGTTCTCAATGTTAATGTTTTAATTATGTCAGCAATCTTTTTGTGTTGTCATGGACCAAATTGTCATCCAAGACTTTAGAATGTACCAGTTATTTCCAGCTGTGTCCTAAACCTAATCGTTGTCCTCTAATAGATACTTTTGGATTTCTAGAGAGAGAGAGAAAGGTTTTTACTGTATCATGTAACAGATGCACTTAAAATGTTAGTTTTTCTTAAATCATTGTGTACTGCTAAAACCATAACCGTCTTTTTTGTTGTTGTGATTTTTCTTTTTCATGCACACGTTGAATAAATAATGAAATAAAGAAGTCACAGTCGCCAATTTTAAGTGTTTTATTGCACAAATGTCATGTTCAGTGAAAGGCATGGGGGGAGAGAGGCCAGCCAAAATGTTTCAACAGAAACGATCGAGTTAGAATTTAGTCAACATCACAACAAATTATTGCAACGATAAAGTTTAATACAATTAAAATTTTTAGATCGATAAGCAGAAAAACATTTGGTGAATCGGCAAAACAGCAAATCGGTGTCATACAAGCAACACTTGATGGCACATTTAAACACAATATGACTGCTTTATATAAAAAATGCCATTCAAAGCATAAAAAATAGCCTTTTGTTCATAGCTGTGTGCGTAACGAGTCCTGTGAGTGGTACAGTCAGATGTTCAGTAGGATGCAAACAGTTCTTGGCTTAGTTTGCCTGATTAACATTAGTAAATATAGAAAAGGACAAGTGTGCTCAGACATTTGGGTAACACTTCCACAATGTACAAATACTTCATTAAAAACCTTTTTTTAAGAGCGTTTAAGTGAATGTAAAACTTCCTTTATGACAAACGACTGGAGAAAAAAACTCAATCTCTCGTATGGTAGAGGTAGGAAGTAATCCATTCTAAGTACCTCAAAGTTGTAACAGTATTTGAGTAAATATATCTGAGTGAATGTACTCGGTTCCATATTTTGCACACAAGGTAAAGTGCAAATAAAGCAGCACTATAAACCAAAGTCCACTCAGGCATTAGGCAGAAAGAAATGGGCAGTTCACAAAATGACTAAACGACTCAAACGGCTAAGAAACTACTGACTACTGAGCAAACTTCAAACTAAATACCACTACACACATACAGTATGTGCTCCTTTATGAAAGCACATCACAGAAACCTCTAATAAACTGTCTCAGAACTAAATTGTCCATAAACATCCCACATGAATTACCCTCAAACTGACGTTTATTTTTCTGGTTACATTAAAATTAGGGGTGCACCGATAAATCGGCCCCGATTTCCTTAATTTTGGGAAAGCGTAGATCGGCCGATACTTGCATGAGAAACCGATTTTATCGATTTGTTTGTAGTTTGTCTGAACTTCATTTATATTTCAGAGCACTACCTCATGGCCAGTTAAAACTAGTTTGTATTATTTCTAGGATATTGTTCAAGGGTATGTTATTCAATAAAATAATATTGGAAAATCGAAGGTGCATTGTGAACTTATAACATCTGACAGTGTCGCTTATAAAACAAAATTGGAATTGGCAGGTCGGCCAGACAACTGCAATCGGTTCACCCCTAATTAAAATGATAGTTCAGCCATTTTGGCATGTTTCTGTGAAAAAGTCATAAATTAATATCCTGCTTGTTGTTGACAGCTCTTTGAACAACCTCATTTGGAACAAAATGGAGTTTAAGATGTAAAGTGACAAGCTAAAGGCTAGTTCCAAGTAGCCAAAACCAACGTGGACTGCTGACATCTTAAAACAACTTCAATTTTCTAAATAGCCCTTCAAGCTAATGCTATTTCATAAACTTTAACACGGCTGTCAATTTTGTGTTACATGCACATTGTTTACATGCACAAGTGAAGTTGGCAGTTGGAGTGGCATCAAATTTTTGCAGTTTTCAAAATTTCTGTTTTGTCTGTGGCCCATGTGCCAAACAAGCATTTTTCAACAATGGACTCAGCATGAGCGGAAGATGAGGCAGAAGACCATGGAGAATGTTGTTTTTCCACACAAGGTGGCTGAGACGGCTTCGTATCAGGTAAGAGAAATGCGCATTTGTTTTGGTTGTATTTACCCAGAATGCCCTGCACTGTATTCCACTTCCTGCTTTTGGAGCGGTCCACTTGTATTTACAATGCATTCGAACCGCGCCAGAGTTCACATCACTCAAACCGTAGGTTTTTAGGCGGACCAGAGTTTGCTGTTTTGGTCCACATCAGAGTTTGATTGCACATTCACACCTCCCCAAACGAACTGGACTTTCTAGGCAAATGGACAAGAGTTTGATTAAAGTGGACTAAACGGCTGGTGTGAATGTACCTATATGTGTCTCTGTGATGGACTGGAGACTTGTCCAGGGTGTCCCCCGCTTCTCGCACAGTGACTGCTGGATATGGGCTCCAGTGACCCCCATGACCGAAAAACGAAGAAGCGGGTAAAGATGATGAATGGATGGTTCTTAATAACCATAATATTTAAACCTTTTTTTTTTTTTTTTATCACCGTTCATTTCACATCATGGCTATTTTAGCAGAAATGTTCTTGCAGTAAGTGTGCACTTGAACGCCCCATAGATGCTACAGCTAGCTCCTGCTATGCGCTTCTGAAATTATAAATTTTTGTGTAATTAACAGTGTAATACAAAGTTGTCAGAGATTTAAAGCTCTATAAACTAAACTTAAAAACACCCCACTAGAATGAACCACTAAAAATTCAGAGAAATTGACGCTGTTTTAGGACGGTAGCAAACTTCTTTGGTCCTAGCTACTCTCAGATTAGCCGTTAGCTTATAAATCCTGTCTAATCTAAACGATTTCTTCAAAGTGAGCCCATTCAAAATCCTTCTACAACTTCAACTTCAGAAAAACCTAAAAGCACTTGTGTGTTCTGCACACTGATCGATCTGTGCACCTGGAACTTCTCCTCCTACCAAAAAGTTGGAACTCTTGAGCCCACGGAGCTCTAATGTGAACGTGGGCTCTTTTTCAAAAGTTCAATAACTCAATTATAAGTTTCCTATTTCAGATTCTGCTTCAGTGTTCTAACTGAATTGTAAAATTAAAGATGATAAATAATAAAAAAAAAAAAAAGATTTTAAGCATAGAAAGCTATTAAAAATAAACTACATATATATAAAGTTAAACATCCCAGCTTCTGAGTGTTGTGTGGGTATTTTCTAACTGCAGTAACATTAACCAGAAGTTGGACACAGCAGAAAATGTTTCGACAGGTCAGTAAATACTTTTCTTTTCTTCTTGTGCTCATGGAAAGTCAAACAAATTCCTAAAAGTTAAAACAGCATTAGAAAAAGATGAGGAATGAAGACAAAAATGACGTATTTCAGAGTTAAATAACAGTCTGGAAAGTTTGCTAATCACAAAGACAGCTGTGGTTGGTTGTCTAATTTTAAAGCAGAGGAGGGGGACAGAAGGAGAGATTGTCCGTAGCTTCTTTTAATCAGAGTACTGGTTGTAACCATCAAACTCGACCTCGCTCCCATTGTTATAGTAGGTCTCAATAGGGTTGGTGCAGTACTTGTTGTCATAAACCTGGCGGGGCAGGCCGTAGGTGGTCATCCCCTGCTGGGAGGCCACTTTGTTGGTGCCCATCTGAAGAGAAATAGTGGAGGTGTCACATTTCTCCAGCTGCAGGTTCTTATCAAAGATGTGCCTCCTGGTTCCAGGTGCCACCATGCCAGCCTGAAAGACAAAACAACAACAACAACAACAAAAATATATTTATGCTAAAGTATTTCACACAAGTTTTTGTTTTTAATTTTAATATAATCAAATCTGTTATGAAGATACGATTAAAAAAGCCACCACACGAGGGTGCTTCAGTCTGTATGGTATGACAGACTTGGTGGCTCAGCATGTTGTGGACAAGCTTGCAGTGGTGGGGAAAGTACTCAAACACTGTACTTAAGTAAAAGTACACATAAACAGACAAAAATGTACTCTAGTAAAAGTAGAAGTACCACATTAACATTTTTACTTAAGTAAAAGTAAATAAGTACTTGCTTTTAAAATATTTAAAGTATTAAAAGTAAAAGTACTTTCTGAATGTATTACCTAATGCAATGGTCTACATATCTTTGTCTGCGTACCGTATGTATATTTTCTGTAACACATTTATAGTGTTGAGCATTTTAATGAACAATGCTGCAGATAATACAGGTCCTTCTCAAAAAATTAGCATATTGTGATAAAGGTCATTATTTTCCATAATGTAATGATAAAAATGAAACTTTCATATATTTCAGATTCATTGCACACCAACTGAAATATTTCAGGTCTTTAATTGTTTTAATACTGATGATTATGGCATACAGCTCATGAAAACCCAAAATGCCTGTCCCAAAAAATTAGCATATTTCATCCCACCAATAAAAGACAAGTGTTTTTAATACAAAAAACACCAACCTTCAAATAATCATGTTCAGTTATGCACTCAATACTTGGTCGGGAATCCTTTTGCATGAATGACTGCTTCAATGCGGCGTGGCATGGAGGCAATCAGCCTGTAGCACTGCTGAGGTGTTATGGAGGCCCAGGATGCTTCGAAAAAGGCCTTAAGCTCATCCAGAGTGTTGGGTCTTGTGTCTCTCAACTTTCTCTTCACAATATCCCACAGGTTCTCTATGGGGTTCAGGTCAGGAGAGTTGGCAGGCCAATTGAGCACAGTAATACCATGGTCAGTAAACCATTTACCAGTGGTTTTGGCACTGTGAGCAGGTGCCAGGTCGTGCTGAAAAATGAAATCTTCATCTCCATAAAG